TTACATGTTCGGAAACTACATTAAAATCGCTACAAAACATGCAAAAAATAATTCAAATTTCATAAACTTTTGATATATAAAGTAAAAGATTGAGAGTGATTTATGTTGATCAAGTGAATAGTAAATGTATCTTACAATTTGGGACTGAGGGAATATGAAAATTAAAGAGTACTTATCTTATTCTTAAGCGGATTAAAAAATGTGGGCTGGCGGGAATGAATAGCACCCAGCAATCCCCTTGGGCCCTTTTTAACTTTCAGAAGCCCATTGACTATTGTGGTCCATTGTACTTCACTCGTAGTGGGCAAGTGGTAGCAACTATTTTGGCCAGGTCAAGCCGGACACCTATCCAATTGTTACAGGCAGCCCTCACTTCTGGCAGGCCGGCAGCTTCCTCCTGTCATTCGGCTTTGGCATGTCCCTTCGTTTCTTTTCAGCAGACGTGGTCTTCTCACAACCATGGGAGCCAAATACGGAGTATCCTTGAGACAGGGCATATGAAGAATCATTCTACCACCCCAAAGTCCGATCACATGTGTCGTCGCTTACTCCAGTGGAGATGGTGGTTGCAGCGGGGCCGCCGAGGCTAGTCTCCGGCGTAAGATTGGCTGAACCTCGCAATATACTTTCCCTGAGCTTCGAGCCGCCATTAATGGCGGAAATCAAGGAGTTCCCAAGTGCATGTTTCCTAGGTCACGTCAGCAGAGTGTGAGGGCTCAAACGGTAACTGACCAGTTGAAGGACCGGTGGGTGGCTGTCCGTTGACGACGAGCGGCAGTTGGGCGATTCAGGCGGTGGCTGGTGGAGCCAACGACGAGCCACGAGCCGCTCTGTTTCCGGCGGCGTTCTACTAGAAACAGGACGACGAGATTCGGGGCACTGCGGATTCAGATCGTGTGTTCTGGTCGGAAGTACACCTTGTTCCTCCAGGGGCATTGAAGCAGCCATTAATGGCGGTACCAGAGGTTGAGCTTCAACAATCGACGGGAATACGAAGGCGGAGCGAGGTGGGAGGCGTTGAGACAGAGCCGGCGGACACAAGCTTATAGCATCCAATGATGGTGATTCTCGAGCTCAGCGGCTCAGATCTTGAGGCGGTGGTGCTCTCTGGTGCACAGTGGCAATCGAGATGGAGATAACATACGAAGGCTTGCCAACTCCATATCTCAGTTTCTAGCTTTCTTTGTTGAAATTCCAGCTTGTGTTTTTTTTATTTCTTGTGATTCAAATGAATTTTTGGTTTTTTGGGAGGTTTTCTCACTTGATTGTGTTCAAACCTCTCAACGAGAGCATCATTGTTGGATAATTGATACCCATATTGTATAAACTAGGAGAGATTGAACAAGAACGTAGGAGAAAGAAATGAAAGTGTATTGTGTATGAGTAATGAGTTCTATGAGTTGTGTGTCATCTTTACAACCCTCCTATAAGGAGTATATATAGGGAAAATTCGGGTTTGGGCCTCTAATATGGGACTGACTGACCCGGTTACATAAATGGACTGATAGTATAAAGAGATAATCTAGAACATCTGAATAATAATAATGTAAAATAATAAGAATCCGCTAAGCATGTGTGTGGGCCGCTGTCCAGACCGAGTAGTCGGCAGACTGTGGGGTCGGAGTCCATATACTCCATCACCGGGCAGTAAAAAAATTTATCCAAACCAAGGGACAAAGACATGTCACCAATTTTAGAAACATTAACAATTGGCTCAATTGTAGTAAGTAATTTTATTCTCCACTGCCTTATTAAATCCTGTAGCCTTGAACAAGAAGAAACAAGGCCCCGGACATTCCAAGTGAGACAATTCATTAGGGCAGGGGGGAAAGCTTGAGATAGCTGCCTTGCAGCATTTCTTATCATCCTGGGTGAAGCAGGTAAAACATGATTAGGTTGTTTCTTCTTTTTCCTAGCAACTGTGATACAGCCTTCATCATTAAATTTGGATGCACGATCATCATCTTCAGCAGAATCTGATTCTTTATGTTTATTAAGAATAGAATTAACCTTGCGTGTGAGTTCTGGCTGACTCTCCTTCCATTTGTTAATATTGTCCAAAAAGCAAAAATCACCATCCGAGGAATACCCTTTGGCCACTAGCTTAGGGTCATAAGAGTTCCTTTGAACATATTTCAACAGATTATAGTCTTCTGCAGCATGTTCCTTAATATGATTAGCTTTATCCACTTTGAATTCATCTATGGACCAATCTAATTGTGATATTATTGTTGCAGGTTCAGACTCCAGCTTTGGAGCCTCTGTAAAACTTCCTCTACATCAGATTCATCCAGAGAAGCTGCATATCTAGAAGGTCCCTTAGGCTTTTTAGGGTAGGCAGAATCTGCATGACCTAAATGTAAACAATATGAGCAGTACTGAGGCATGTTTTCATATGTAACTGACTGTGAAAACCCCTTAGATCCGCACTGAATTCATATCTTAGAGGGAATCTCCTTACTAAGATCCACTTCAACACACACCCTGGCCAAGGAGGGCCTTGCCAGGGAAGCCGTGGCAGCATCAAGCTTCAGCGGTTTCCCTAACAATCCTACGATGTGAAAGATTGCTATTTTATCTTGTAGATGGATAGGCAAACCTTCAAAGGTTAACCAAATTGGAACCACAGGAGATTCCACGTTAGGTCTAAAATCAGGTGTTCATTTTGTAACTCGCATAACATTACCAAAAATGTTCCAAGTCTGTCGGTTCCAACAACGAACATAATCCTCCTCACAAACAAACCTAATCAAAATATGCTTCTGTTCCAGGATACCCATGAAAAACTCACCTTTGAATCCAATTAAATCAAATGTTTTGTGCAAGGTGGCTAAAGAGGGTCGATTTTTAAAAAAACATCCCACCAGGGCAAGCCTATGCTTAGCAGCAAGGACTTGAATTTCTTCCTCTGGAAAGCCGATCGCGTGCATACCTTTAAATCTAGTAGAATTTTTTCGTGACAAGGGAGGATCATTACGATCCGCAACAACTGAAGCAAAGGATTTAGCACCCCAATCTTGACCTCCTGTCGATGGTTTCTGCTGCGTTGAAACTACCGCTGCAAATGATTTAGATTCCCACACCTTATTATTCAAAGGAGGAGGCGGCAGATCCCCCTCCACTCCCGTCGAGATCGTCATACGTACGCCTAATCGCCCAGAATCGTCTATATATAAATAGCACCTCGTATAGTAGAAGATTAGTACAATTCTCATACATATCCATGATGATGCTGATATACTTGCGTGATATGCCTTTCCTAGTTAAGGCCCACCAAAGAACTTCTCGAGATACCCTATCATATGCCTTTTCTAAGTCAATGAACACCAAATGCAGATCCTTATGAGCGTCTCTATACTTCTCCATAAGTTGCCAAAGAAGGTGAATGGCCTCACTTGTTAAGCGACCAGGCATAAAACCGAATTGATTCTATGAAATCTTCACAATTCTTCGAAGTCTTTGCTCAATCACTCGCTCCCAAACTTTCATGGTGTGACTCATAAGCTTAATCCCTCGATAGTTGGCACATTCTTGTACATCACCTTTATTCTTAAATAAGGGGATAAGAGTACTCTTCCTCCAACTCGTTGGCATCTTGTTGTTTCTCCAAATCATGTTGAAGAAACTTGTTAACCACTCGACGCCTCTCTCTCCCAAACTTCTCCAAGTCTCGATCGGTATGTTCTCTGGACCCACTGCTTTCTTCCGTCCAATCTTCCTCAGAGCTTCTTTAACTTTCGTTGTTTGGATCCGTCTCACAAAATCACGATTCACCATACAATCTGGTAGGAGTGGACTCGGGCCGGGCCAACCGGACCGGCCCGCTACTGTGCGGGCCCGGACCGGCCCGGTGAATCGGTTGGTTGCCTGGTTCGGGCCACCCGGCCCAGTGGGATGGCGGTTCGGGCTCGGGCCCTTCAAAAGGTGAACCGGCCCGGCCGGTTCGGGCCTGGGCCGAGCCGTTTTTTTGTTTTTTTTTTTTGAATTTTTTTAAGTTTTTGGGTTGGGCTAGGTATTTTGGGCCATTTGAGGTGGTTAGGGTTGGTTTTGGGGTGAGGGGGAGGGTCGGGGGTTAACTAGGAAAACCCAAAAAAATAAAAAAATAGAACCGAGGCCCGGCCCGGCCCGGACACGGTGGTTACCCGGGCCAGTTCCGGGCCTCCCCTTCATGAACCGAGGCCCGGTCGGGCCTAGGCCCGAACTGGGCCCGAATCGGAACCGGTCCACCCCTACAATTTGGTATGGACAAATCACCGATATCTTGCGTTTTGTTCGCGTTGAATAGTGTATCAAAGTATTACTTAAGTTACCAAACATGATAATGAAAGAGAAATTACGCTCCATTACTTTTTTTTTTAAATTACGCTCCATTACATTACAATATTTATTGCATTACATTACATTTTTTATTGCATTACACTCTATTCCATTGCATTGCATTACAGCATACCAAATATCGATGGACTCGGATCCGGGCCGGGTCCGGGTCGGGCCTAGGCTCGGGCGGGCCGGCGGGTCAGAAATGGTGGACCCGGGACCGGCCCGGGTAACCACCGGGTCCAGTCCGGGTCGGGCCGGGCCCATTATATTTTTTTTTTTGTTTTCCTCTTCCTAATTAACCCCCTTCCCACCCCCAACCCCCCAAACCACTCCAAATGGCCCAAAATACCCAGCCCAACCCAAAAATTTAAAAAAAAATTGAAAAAAAAAATAGTTTTTGGCCCGAACCGGGCCCGGCCGGGTCGGGTCTTGTTTTGGGTGACCCGAGCCCAGACCGGAAAATCCACGGGCCGGGCCTACCCGGACCGGTCACTGACCGGGCCACCGGGTCGGGCCGGACCGGAACAATACCGGTCCCGGGCCGGTTCCGGGTCGGGCCACCCGGCCCGAGTCCACCCATAATACCAAACATAATCTCTGTGTCTAGTAATAAAATAATTTATTACACTGTGTACTCATACATGTAGGTAAACAAACAAACATAATTATGTAATATTGATAAAATTTCAAAGTTATTATTACTTAAGTTACCAAATTGAATAGAAATTACGTTCCGTTACATTACAATATTTATTGCATTACATACTCTATTCCATGCATTATAGCATACCAAACACAACCTAACGCCTTTCCACAACACGCCAACACCCAAATATTACACACCCACTTCTGAAAAAAATATTTGTCACAAATACTTTACTTGTTCTTTTTCATTATATTTTTTCAGATGCAGCATTTTTTTCCATTGATATCTCTACGCCAAATTTGCCGCTTGTCTATTATGAGTCTGTGACACGGGTGTCCTATTTAAATTTATAATCCAACTCTAATGAGTAAGTAGACTACGCTGAGCCGGCTGAGGACATTATACTACCAAAATTACTGTTTGTTCAGCCAATAATAAAGCACAACTTTTATTCCAAACATTCCATACAAGCAGTAAACATAAGTAAGGACGTGCTCTAGAGAGTACAAAATATGTAAACTCAATAAAATGTCATAGATAATAAGTGTAGGCCGACCAAGTGACATTGTAGAAATTCCTTCATGACTCAAATGTCATGTTCTCTGCTTCATGCCTGACGGACTCAAAGAGAACAGAAGAAAGATAACGCTCTCCAAAGCTCGGGAAAATGACCTGCACAGAAATGGCAAAAAACACGTTTAGTAGCTGAATCTCATATTCTTGGCTTTAAAACTGTTGTTGCAATGCTCTCTTAAAGAGCAAAACATTAACATGTCAACAAAACATTAACATGTCAAGACATCACACATTGAGGTGCAGAGCGGTTTCTTAGTTTTACACTACGTGTGGCTTGAAACTGCTCCACACTACAAGATGCTAAGGTTGTGATAAATTTGTCAAATATGAAGCTCAAAATACAATACAAAAAACAGAACCGAAGTGTAATTAGAAACTTAAAAAATCTAAACCAGAAACTGCATCTTACAATGGTGTAACAAGATTCTTTTCTTGGGAGCACGGTATAATTTAATATTTACAGCCAAATATAATTTAACTAAAATAAATAAAAAATCGAAAAAGGTAAAACATATCAATACTTTACAATTAGGGGGGGGCAATGGTGCATGTAAATTAAGTCAAAATAATTTAATGCAAAATAATTACATATCAAATAATTTGACTATTTCAACTTGAGGTTAGCTATTGGTGGGCCATGTGCCCCAGGCGGCAGGCCCCACTGTAAATCTGACGCTGGCAGTGCGCCTACCTTTTCGTGGGATGGCACACCAGTTAGAAATGTTTATGGCTTGATGTATTATTTGATATGATACGTTTGAATTGAAGCAACAATTGGTTTAACTTTACAAGCTGTTCACCATTGGATATGTAATTGCACCAAGTATAGAGCTTTGTGTAGGAGATGAGCTAATGCAATAGTATGTTCACTCTAATCTGAGTAGCTTAAGTCATTCATTAAGCGGTGAAGGAAAAAAGGTAACACATACAACAATGAGTTTTCCGGCATTCTCAGGCCTCTTTGCAACTCGAATTGCAGCAGCAGCAGCGGCACCTGATGATATTCCCACCTGCAGAACATGTTTTCATCTTCAAACCATCTCGAAATAGGGTGAAGTTGGAGGACAAAATGATGAAGGATTTTTTCTTTCTTAAACAATCAACTTCTTTGAACACAAGAAGAACTTACTAGCAATCCCTCTTTTGTAGCAAGCTGCTTTGCAGTTTCAATGGCTTCGTCACTCGAGATCTGGTTTTGTTTTAACAGTCACAAATAATTAAATTATTTTAGAGAAAACATGATCACTACATTCAATGGGTATCCCACATCAGGGAACATACATGCATGTATGAGGTGAACCACACTTTTTGAAGATATTTTTGGGTTAATTAGACCTGATTGAACAAGGTCTCGGAGCTAGGTTGAGTTGTACCAATCTAGTCAATAATTAGGGGCAACCTCTTTGGGCTCATTTGCCAACCCTGTAGTCATACTCCTTGGGCTTAGGGGTGTGCTGAATATTCACATGGATTGTCCACTAGGTATGAGCCTAATTATATATATATATATATATATATATATATATATATGCGAAGTAAACCTCAAATCTGGATGATCTTTTACAGTGAGTTGGGCCAAATTTAACAAAATTGCTCACAACATAACAAAACATCACCATTTCTTACTTGAATTACTTCATCGATAAGATCGGCATCCAAGACACCGGGGACAAAACCGGCACCAATTCCCTGGATCTTGTGTGGACCTGTAGTGCACCAGGTAAAAAACCACAACAATATAATCTTATAGTTTTAAACCCCATACAATTTATGTTTTATGTAATTTCATCTTGCATATACTCTTTAATCAACAACATAGTATAATAGTAGAAAGGGACAATGAAAAAAGAGAGATAATCATCAACTGCAACATAACTCACCAGGCTTTCCTCCGCTGAGAACAGGGCTCTCAACAGGTTCAACTCCGTACAGCTAAAAACACAAATGAGAAAGAAAAAATATAAAGTCAGCACAAAAAAATTACATCGTTTCTATGCAAATATAATCCAACATGAATATAATGGTCCATTTGGAACTTCGAAAATAAAATAGAAACAAAATATTTACAAAAAATCATAGAAAAAGTTTGTATAAAAGGAAAAAATGTGGACTAAAAGCTATTCTAATCCTCAATAGTTCTGTTTTACATATTGCTTATACTTATTGAATTTATGTCTATCATTTCAAAAGTACAACAATTAAATCTAATATAGGTAGAATTTGAAAAGAATTTGTTGTATTTCGTTTTTATTTTTGCATTTCCAAAGGTAAAACAAACTTAACAAATGAATTTTCCTTAACAGTTTTGTTTCCTTTTCATGATATTTTTTCTGGATCCAAACCTGAATCATACCTTTATGTTTGGGTTCTGCTCCCTAAGGAACTTGCCCACACCAGTAATAGTGCCTCCTGTACCAATCCCAGAGACGAATGCATCAACTTTACCATTTGATCCTTTCCAGATTTCAGGTCCAGTTGTTTCATAATGTATCTAACATAGTAAAAAGAAAGATAACTATAGAAATCCATCACCACATTGGTACGCCTTGTAAGTCAAAAGCAACAAACCTTTGGGTTCGCTGGGTTTTCAAACTGTTGTAGAATGTAAGAATTGGGTGTTTTGGCATGTATTTCTTCAGCCTTTTGAATGGAACCTTTCATGCCCTTAGCAGGATCAGTGAGAACCAATTCAGCCCCAAAACCGCGGAGAAGAATTCTTCTCTCTAGGCTCATGGAAGCAGGCATGGTGATGATAAGTTTGTATCCCTTAGCTGCTGCCATGAACGCCAACCCAATGCCAGTGTTACCACTTGTAGGTTCTATTAGGACACTCTTCAACAAAAAAGAACAGTTCCATTGGGGAAATAGGGTCATAATGAATTACTATATATAAAAAACAAGTGCCAGTTTACGTGAAGGGTTTGGAGGGGAACAGGGGAAGCATTCGAGGGCTTAGTCTATATGCATGTTTGGTAGGCATATGTGCCTACCTTCTAGCTTTTGTAGTACTAGTATTAAAAAATCTCTAAAAGTTATTAGTTGTATATTAGGCACAACAAATTTTAAGAGCTTTTTTAAAAACTATTTTTTTAAGACTACACTGAACTTAAGATCTTTTAGCATTAATTAATCACAACATCTTTTTATACCTAACGGAGCTAAATTAAATTGTCAGCTTTTATCAAACACTTGCAACAACCTTTTTTTTTGAGATCTTTTCAGTCACTAAAAGCTAACAGTTACTAAAAAACTCATAAAAGTATCTTTTCAATTGTACCAAACATGCCTATATCTTGATAAAGGAAAATTTCTATGAATAAATAAATGTTTATAAGAATATTATATCAAGATTAAACTTAGCCTTCCAAAATAATCCCCTCGAAAAGTCTACATCCGAACTGCTCTAGAAGACAAATAAACTCATGAGATATTGATCACTCACCTCCCCCGGTTTAATAAGACCCTTCTCCTCTGCATCTGTAATCATACTATACCCAATCCTACATACACAAAAAACATACAATGCCATTTAAGCACCAAACAGTACTAACTACTAACCATAGGTGCAAAGAGTACAAACTATAGAAGATAATAGTAAATAGACCATGAAACATGTAAACCTTGTAATAATCTACTCGCCCCTCGATTTAATTGGCATGTGATTTCAGGGAATAGGGCCATTACAAACATGATTTTATATGTAAATTTTCAAAAACATTCAATTTACAGTAAAGCAATACAGTTTCCAGAATTTCAACATTCTAACTACCAAAGAAATCCAAAGGAGTTAAAATCAAAGCAGTCACCTGTCCTTTACACTGGAGCATGGCTCCATCATTTCCAGCTTGGCTGCAACACGAGCAACACATCCATCAACGATTTTGTTCAGGTACACCAGAGGTGTTTTGCCAATCAACTGTAGATACAAAGTGCTGAATTCTAGTCAAAAGTGATTCATATAACACGCTACATAATTTTCCAGGGAATAAAAACTTACTTCAGTAACATCCTTTGCAATCCCGTGGTTTTCCTCTCCCATACTTTTCAGATTAGATTCTACGAAGTACAAAAAAAGAAACCGTTAAGAAGCTCAAATATGCATCGACACACACGCGCCTCGCTATGATGCTCGGAAACGCCAAACCTGAAGAGGAATCGGGTGGCGGATGAGAGGTTATATGAGCTTTTGAGGGACTTTTTCCCTGCGTAAGGGTAGAGATTACTGGGGAAGAACGATGGAGGCGAAACTTCACAAGCTGATCGGGTCAATATAGATTCCCTCGGTCCACAAATAAATACTCCTCCCAATCTTCAAGTTTGAGAGACACGGGATTAACAAAGTAAAAATTGTGTGGTTTAGATTTTTGCAGAGGAGAGAGAATTAACTGAAACCACAAATACTTTACTTAAAAAAGAAAGTGACAAAGTTGGTGAGACAACCAAAAATGGAAAGTTGGAAAAGTTTTAAGGGACGGAAGGAGTATATTGTTTTCCCAAAATGTATGTCCTAAAATAATTGTCCTACTTTGAAACTTTCCTTATTTGGTAAACAAATTTATACAAAACAGTGTCAAACAGGGCAAAACAGTGCCAAACAGTGTCGCTGCAATGCCAAACAGTGTCGCTACAGTGTGAAGTCAACTTCATTTTCTTAATTTGTGTGAAGGTCAAAGTAGGACAATTATTTCGGGACGGAGGGAGTATTAGATATACTTACCGACTATAATTATTTCTTGGGAAAAGTGTGAGATGGGTACATCAAGTTGTAAGTAAGCGGGAGTAAAGAATACGTCATTGTGCAATTGGAAATCAGAGGAATCAGAGGTACATCAAGTCGACAAATCGGTGCTAATTTAGTCCACCGGGCTATTAGGTCGTTAAAACGCCTAGATGGCAAGTATTAGCCATTTGTGCGGTAAACGGTGGCATCCAAGTAAACATCGTCCTTCTCCTTTATATCGAACCCTAGAATATCAGATTAGCCCAAATTTTACAGTGAAGGTCCGTTGGTTCTCTTCTTTTCTCTTCCAGCCAATATTGGCTCTTTCTCTGGCGGCTACTGCGTTTGTTTGTGTTGGTTGTTAATCTTCTCTTGTGTTCACAACATCACGAAAATTAACCTATTCCATTTGTGTATCAGGTTTAGGAACAACGCAAATGGCTTATGAAAATTGCGGTTGTGGAATTCCAGTAAAGATGATGACTTCGTGGACAAATGACAATCCAGGGAGACGATTCATTGCCTGCTCAAGAGTAAGGGCATTCGAATGATAAAAATATCTTATTTCTTATTTGTTGTGAATTTTGAGTGTTCTTCACCTAGTGTTATTATTACAAATAGGGTATAGGTGGTTGTTGCAACATGTTTGAATGGATTGATCCAGAAATGTGTTTTAGATCCAAGACAATTATTCCTGGTTTATTGAGGAAAATAAACAAACTGGAAGTTGAGCTAGTTGAGAAGGCCAAGGAAAAAGGGTTGTCCACAAAACAAAGATTATGGAGTGTGTTGTGGTGCATTGTAGCTGGAATGATGTTGGTAGTGATATGCAAGAAGAAGGTAGATTGGAAGGTGTGTGAGGCTAGGCTAGCATGGAGTAATTCAGAATGGAAGTTAGACTACATTACATGTAATGTAATTTAGTTTTGTGTTGTAGAATCTGATTTTGTGTGATGTTTTGTTTAATAGATTGGAAGGTGCATCAGTTTCTTTGCTATGATGTATCATCACAACTATTGTAATGACTTGACCTTATTTAACAGTTATGTAGAATCAATTCCTTTGAATGTTATGTAGAATCAGTGTTATGTAGAACTTAAACTTGAACTGAAATTTCAACATCCTTTACTGAAACATGAACTCATATTTGAATATATTTTACTGAAATAACCTTATGAGGTGAAACAATGAAGTGAAGCAATGAATTGAAAGCATGAACTGAAAGTTTACACTAAAACCATGCACAAACCATTAGGTGGAACCATGCACTCAAATTTGTATTGAAACCATTATTTGAAACCATAACTGAATTTGGTATGCAAACCATGAGGTCAAACAAGCACAACATACATGAATTAAAAGCAATTGTAATGGCATGAAATAAAACCAAATGGCATGCCAATAAACAACCACAATTGTAACAATCATCTAAAATATGAAGTAAACCCATGAACTCAAACCATTAAGTGAAAACAGGAACTTAAACCATCGACCAAAACCCTCAACAAAAACCAGGAACTTATATTGAATACATAAATGTTGGAAGTGAAGTCATACACAACAGAACGTGTACATTATCATCCCACACAAACGCGCCGTGTCACCTGAATATCGTATGCAAGTAAAAACTACACAAAAAACTTGCAAATGACCCTCATAAGCTCATATACATCTCTGAAAAGTTTATGATCCTTAAAAGCCCATATATTATGCAAAAAGGCAGTAAGATCTTCCCAAAAAAATATTGTTTCACCAACATTAAAATAGCTACACTAATGGACATCATTGTCTTCCATGGAGTCAAACAAAGTATGGAACCTCTTGTCTTGCAGTTGTGGCATCACCATTAAGTTCTACATCTTCAACACCATTAAGAAAATGACATTATTACTTTTCATAATACCAAAATTTTCATTGAATCTGTCTTTACTATGGCATTATTAAAAATGTTGGAAGATTTCCTACCGGTGATGGGGAGGTGGCGGTGCTGGGGGTGGCAGAAGCGGCAGTGTTATTTTTACATTTTTAATTTTTTTTTTTTAATTTTTAATTTTAAAAAAGTATATAAATATTTTATAAAAATATTACTATATTTTTACGTTTTTTATTATTTTTTACGATTCGTATTATTTTTTATGATTTTATTATTAATTAAGACATTTCAAAAGTTACAAGGGTATATTTGCCCAACACATATAAATAGTCCTACCTTGGAGGAATTTAAAAGATATAGTCCTATTTGTGCTATTAGGCAACTTTTTTGTCCTATTTAGGTAATTCATTCAAAGCAAAATGCAACCGTAAGCAACCATTATTTCGGCTACAATAATCAAATGAAAAACATGCTAGAATAAGACGAGAAAAACGGCCTAGGGATTTAGAGATTTAGGTAATAAACTTTTCTACGGTGTCAACTAGGAAATAGACACGGTCTGGGACGGTCCAATGTTTTGCCGAACATGTACCCGTACCGTGACTATTGAAACGGTCTGATTCGGTTCAGTCTTAGACCTAAACCCGTTCGGTACGGTTCTATTTTCAAATGGGGCGGTACCATTTCATACATTTACCAAACAAAGTCACTTTTTACCATTGTTTAAGGGGAAATTAAAATTTAGCCACCCCACAAGAATTCACAAAATTTATCATTTTTAATATTATGTAATAAATAAATTTCAAATAAACTACAGTAGTACAAAACATACATTACAAAACATTAATTTGAGATGTACGTTTACTTTTACTTAATTTGAGATGTAATTTGAGATGTATAAAACATAAATCACAAAACATAAAGTCACACAATGGCATACATGTACATTTAAACCATGCTTCTGTATGGTACCGATTCTCATTTTATGAGAACCGGTAATGTCATGGTTTGGAACTGGTACGATCCCGTTTGGGACAAAAAAAAGTTGAGATCCATTTAAATCCCGTTTTTGGTTTGGTACCATACTGGTCCGGTTCAATACCATGATGGTTCGGTATTTTTGCCCAGCACTAGTGCCAATGAGTTGTTCCTTACTCGGGCTTGGGGTAATTTAAAATTAAAAGTATTATTTAAACAGGTTTGTCTCGGTAGCTGCAATTTTGAATTGTAGGAACCGGCCTGATCCTATATTAAGCATTACCCTCCCCGCCCTGTTTTCATTCTCCAAATTCTAGAACTGCGAATTATCCACCCGAACCGCGGTTCCAGACCCGTTTGCCTACCGTTAGGGATAACAAGGGTGTACAAGGTAGAATCCTACGAGAATATCTTAAAACAATTTAAACTCCATATGATTGTCATTCTCTCAACCTTGCCTTAATTGTAGTGATGTTCTTACGAATTTCGCTATTCAAAAAGCTAGAAGAATAAAATATTAGAATATTGATGTTTTTTTATCAATTTTAAATCTTTTACTTTCGAAGAATATTCTCATAATTTACTTTTGTTTAATTGATATTCTATAATTTATATTATTATGTTGAAAGAAACATATTTCAACAAAATGTCTATATGACCATATAGGGCCTCATAATTGCTTTATACGGCCCTGCTCAAACTATCTAATTGAAATCACGAGTTTTTACTTACGGAGAATGGGGTATATTTACTATTGAAAAATAGATAAAATAAAATTGAAGAAATCATATAATATTATTTCATATAAATAGTGATGTTGCTCACTTTATGGGTGTTGATGCAGTTTTCTCGCGCTTAAAATAGATGTAGCAGTATATGGTTAAAGTACGAGTATCATATCCACAAGGACGGAAAATGGGAATTAAGTGTTGAATACTTCCAGCAATTAAAATAAATAAATTAAAAACGATTATGCGAGATTTGATTTTCAAAAATAAAATTGTAACTAAAATGAAGCTTATTAAAGGGTTCTTTTAAATTAATGACAGAGGAACATGGATTGATTCCGAGGGCAATCAAATTCTGGGGTTGATTAGCCTTAAACACATGAACATTTTTTAATTGATCAAGCAGGTCAATACTAAGTTTATACCGTTTTCGCGGCGTAGAGTACAATAATTTAGAGAACCTGGTTGATCTCTTACTCGACAAGTTTCTAAATTATTTCCAAAACAAGCGAGTGTACGGCTCCCTAATCGTGTTAATCTCTTAGCAAACGATTAAGTATGTGTGAAAGTGTACTAAAACAATTTAGATATCTCTTAAGTTATTATATGTGCTATTATAATCCCAATGTCATTTCAGGTTACAAAATATATTATTTAAATTATTCAAACACATATTAAACAATAAACATGCAATTAAACCATTAACAATTAAACCCTACATCATAATTAACAACATCTTCATCAATCTCAAATCTCTAATTAAAACTACTCACAATTCATAATTGAAATATCAATAGAATTGAGATAAAAAAATTAATTATCATTAATTTAAAAGATAGATCTCATAAACAATCCCAAAATCTTGATAATCCAAGGCTAAAACCTAGAAGAAAATTTGTCTCAAAGTTTTTATCTCTGAGCTCCCCAAAATAAGAGTTTAAAGCTTGTTTAAATAGTGGGTTAATTATCAAAATAGTACTAAAAGTCACTTACTTTGCACAAATAGAACCAAAAAGTAAACTATGTTTTCATAGGACTAAGTATGTGTGTCTTGGACAAATATACCC